ACTTCCAGTAATCAAATAGAAACAAAACCGGTTTTTCTGACTTAATCATGAATGCCCGCCCTGACATGTATTTTAAGTTGTGTTTAATCTCCGTTAGGTGGTGCAAAAATCAATTTTGTTAACATCAGCAAACAACTGTAAATTGATAAATAATTGCTGATTTATCAAATTGTAAAAATTTTTAATTAAAGTAAAAAAGGCTAATAATTTCTATTTTGAACTTAGCTTAATGGTGGGGAAAGTATGTAAACGTTTTGTGTTGAATATTTACCCTAAGGATCGTCATCTTCTGCACCACAGAATGTAGCTTTGACATATTAATTGTAAAGTTATGTATGCAATTGTGATACCTTGCGATAACTTTGCCTTAAGTGGTAGACAGACAAGAAAATTGTATTTCCATGGGAATGCGTGCGCCTATCCGGTCTCCTCTGCAAACAGCGGACCAAAAGGAATTGACATTCTGCCACAATCTCTGATTTTCTAATTTCAATATCTTTGCAACCCAATGTCGTAGATCTTTAATATTTCAAACTATGAATGCTATTAGATCAAATAATATAAGTTTGAAATATCAAAGGTTTTCATTATAAGGTTGAAAAGGTTTTACAAAACTGAATTTGTGGCAAAGACTCAATTCCTTTGACATTAAAGTTGTGTTATATTATTAAATTATTGCCATATTCCTGAAGTGAAACGTATCATGATATAATTTTGGGAATTGTGTGCAGTTTTACCATGAATTAATTGTTTGGTGTATGTCAGTTCAACAAAGTTTTATCAATTTCGCTGATCCAAGGGGGGGAGCTGAGCTCAGATATCCCCACTGCATTTATGCCTTTTCATATTAATTTGAGTATTTGTAAAATTTCCGGTTTAAAACAAAATGTATATAATTGTATATTTATAACCAATAGCATGATTTAATTTTTGTGGAATAACTATAAACCTCCCCTTTAGATACAATTAGCAGCATAAGTTAACAATAGTAAAAATCAACAGAAAACTGAAATTTTTGAGAAAGCCTAAAATTCCTTAAGTTGTGAGGGGAGGGAAGGAATTAAGAAGATAAAATACGCGACTGAGGGAGAAAGAAGCGAATCAAGGGGAGAGGGATTAGTCTAAAACAAAGTTTTTGTTTTTAATGTACTAGCATGGGGACCCAGCGTTGCCCAGGATACTCATAGTTATTCCCGCCGTTTACCCGCGCTTGGTCATGAATTACGATTTTAGCTATTTTTCCTTATAAAAGTCGACTCATTCAACACAGAATCTTAAAACCTAGATATAGTATATACTACAAACAGACAGATAAACAGAGATTACTACTTTATATATATATATAGAAGATGGATTTTTTAAATGCTCTATGGGTAACAATAATGAGGTACTGTGTGTAACATAAAAGTTTTAATAATATTTTTTAGCTTAAAAGAACGGCACAAAGGATGAGAAACTTCGGATGAATGATGAATGATGAATGATGATATATACGAAGAAATGAAATTATTCATTCTTAACATAAATCTTACACGTTTTGTTATCTTTTTAAAATTATTGAATAAACCATTTAAAGACAACTTATATACCGTCTAAATTGTCATTTTTAAAGAGCAAGGTCGTTATTAAAATCTCACCCTTTAAATTTTGGTGGGTATAGACCTGTATATTGTATATTGTATATTGTATATTGTATATTGTATATTGTATATTGTATAAAAGATATAAGTTGGCAAACGATAAAACAAGTAAAGCATGAGTTTTAGGGAACCATCGTGAATTGTGAAGACCATGCTATGATATGAATATGATTTAGCCCTAGAAATGAGATAGGGGAGTGTGATACATGTATTCATATTACAACATTTAAAGGCCAGCTCTTCCATAAAAAAATATGCCTATTTGGCGGTTAGAGTGTTATGGAGGTTTTAAACAAATCAATAAAAGTAATAATTCGGAAAAAGATTGAAAAATATGCATTTTTATTCATGACAAATATTAACATCTGATGTGACACATTTTTTTAAACATCCATTTTAATTCAAATGATAAAATACAAATGTATTGAAGTGCCAACAAAATAATCCGCAACAAAAAATTAAGGATATCTTTAGTGTAGTGCATATCCAAGCTTAAAGATAAGAAAGGGAATATCCCCCAAAGGGAGGGGGAAGGGGGGCGCAGATAATGCATTCTGTAAGTTGTAGCAACACTCCAGTGTCTAAAAACAAGGTAAAATATTATAAAAATCAAAAACTAAATTTAATTTTTTAAACTTTCTGAAATCAACTTTTTTTTAATAAAAAAATCATTTTCAAACTCGTTTTTTTTTCAAATTTCGTGAAAAGGAATCACCCCTGGGCTTTGACCGGCCTTAGGTCAAGTTAGGTTCATTACAATAGAGTTTCTGACGGAGGCAGTGTGCTTAATACATAAACAGAGAATACATTTACTGCAGTAGGGGTTTATTGTGTACATTGTAAAAAATTGCAATATTGTAAACAAAATATTGAATTGGGTGTACCGAAAAACATGAGAATAACATGACGATTTTTTATTCACGTGGGATTTTTCCGACTCATTTAAAATACAAACCAATGAAATCGTTTAGTCTTGATGTTTTCCTAAATGTGGTCTGCTATTTTCGTACAGCTCATATTTTTTCTTATTTTATATTTCAAACTAAGGATTCTGTTAGATCAAATTATCTAAGTTTGAAATATGGTTTGCACTAACAGTTTTCAAAGATTAATAAATTTGAACATACAAAAAGCTATATTCAGAACAATGAGAAACACAATTTAGCGTTTAATAATATTTCAAAAAGAAAGAGGTCACGGTCGTGATAATGTACACTATATTAAAGTAAAAATGGTGATAAGAGATTTAAAAGAAAAGAAAATTGTCGCCTATCAATCCAGTTTTGTTCATGTTTTAGGTGGAAAACTATTGTTATAAAGTGAACCAAATTTAAAAACATCAACATAGCAAAAAATCCACGAAATAAATTTTTTTGCGAATTTTTTTTTCTTCAGAAATCGATAAAAAAAAATGTTTATTTTATTTTTCTATCAAACTTTTAAACAAAGTTTAACACAAATCTATTAATAAACAAAAAGTAATACAAAAAATCCTCAAAAAATAATAGTGCTTCAAATCTTACAAAATCATTGGAAGAAGAATGGTACTTTCTAAACTTAAACCATTTTGTTCCAAAAACTAATTCTTGATTTTAAGAAACTGTTTTTCTTACATTAGAGCCAATTCTTTTAAAACTAAGAGAGATATGTTTAAGGGGGAACTAACTAACGCAAATCTTTATATAAATTTGGCTTGTCTGTTTGTCTGTTTGTTTGTGTCCAATAAACGTCAAAACGGCTGAACCGATCGGGCCCAAATTTTTTGTGGGACATCTAGGGACCCCAGGGAAGGTTTATGAATGATTGAAATTTAAAAAATTTGTATTTAAAAGTTTTTTATTTTTGTACGCGAAAAAATGTTATGAAATCCGCAAACTTTTTTTGTTTTTGTTTTAGAAGATGCTCACAGATTAAGCCACAATTAAAAGTTTAAATAGAAGACGGGCGCGAAGCGCCCTGAATTTCTAGTTGTTTTAAAAATTTGTAGAACTTCTCAAAATTTGGTTGAACCTTTGTAAAGTTCAAAAACCTTGAAGTCTTAAGAAGCAAACAAAGCCATATTCCCAACAGTGCGGAAATGTTTTTTGGTGGGCTTAAAATATCAAACCTATTTAGTTTGGAAACAAAGTAATAATTTAAAAAAATAAAAACACGTTTTGTATACAATAAGGGTATAAATAAATCATTCCTCCCTTTGTTTCGAAGAAAAACTTTTTCCTTTTTTGTCTAAAACCTTGTTTTATCCCATTTATTTTTATTTTAAATTTGGTGCATCAAATTTTGGGTCAGTAATTTACAAAAAATCTGCCTTCCTATTCTTTCATGGGCTTATATGCAATAGTTGACAACTTTTCAACGCATTTTTTTTGTACTCTTTTAGCTCATTCGCAAATATGAAGCATTTTTTATTTAATGTTTGTAATAAAAAATGTACGTATCGCCGAAAAAACCCGGAATTTGTAAAAAAAATTCCTTGCATAAACTTTTGGGTCAATTTATCAATAAAACACTCTGAATATCAATAAATCTAGAAAACACTCTGGATATAATCTAGAAATCTTGATTTATCTAGAAAATTCTTTCTTGGATATAGTAGAGAAAAATCAAAAACCGGTTTTTTAAAATTAGAGAGTCCCTCCCGTTTCTGTATATAATCTTACATGGCGCGCAAAATTTTTAATTTATCGACTTCATATTTGCGACTCTAATTTGTTAAATTTTATACACTTTTCAGGATACAAGTACAAGATTAGGTTAGTCTCGATATTAAGACAAAGAGAGGATCAAGTATTAATCTCAATATCCACCATTTAAAGTTTTCAGCTCTGAATATATATCTAGAAAACACTCTAGATATGTACTAGAAATCTTGATAAATATATAAAATACACTTTGTATATATATCTAGAAATCTGGATAAAATCTAGAATAACTCCAGGATCTAGGATGTATTGTACACTAAATATTTGCTGGGCATTGCCTACTTTGTCCTGAGAAATGTGAAGAATGCCGGGAGACAGAAATCTTTAATTATTTAAAAATCTTGCGTTATTTAGAATTTTCCCGTTTAATTCTGCACCTCGGCATTAATTAGTAGAGTTGGATCTATCTGCACAAATGTTTATAATTTCTGGCAATGTCATGGAAAACTTAATTTTGCTAGTTAAAAAGTTCTGCAATTCCTGCGAAAAGTAATTTTGTCGTCCAAAGAATTTTACGCCAATTACATAAAACATAATTTTAAATGAGTTTATATGCAAATTCGTCAACAACGCTAAAAATTTTATGTGAACGCAAAATGCATTTTCAGCATACCTACCAACAAATATTTGAATTTGCACAAAAACATTTCAATCATTTTGTGAAAAATTCTATTTGCTAGAACATGTTGTTTTCGACATTGAATTAGATTTTTATTCTAGAATTGTTTGAGGCTGGATAATCTATAGAACTGCCCTTTTATAGGTAAACATAAGAAAATCTTTATAAAATCTTTATAATAAAGCTCTTCGCGTATATAATGTATATATTTGTAAGTATGTATGAATATATGTTAGCTTATAGCTCGCCAAATGGCTGGACCAAATTGGCTGACATTTTTTGAAGAAACCCATGGGGGGGGGGTGGTAACATAGGAAATAAATATTAGTTTTTATGTTCAAAATTCTAAATTGTATTTCTATAAAATTCGATTTTTTTTATTCCACGGGCTACGCCGGGCACTTGAGCTAAATAGTTGGTTTAAATTTAAAATCAGATTTTAATTTATTTATTTAAATTTAGGGCTTGCTTCGGTGATAGTTAGCAAATAAAGAATAAAAATGTCTGGTAAAGTAGATCCCTATGCAGGAGTGGATTTTGAGGAGATCCAGGTAAACAATTCATTCATAAAATATTTAACTTTTTTACTTGATCCTCACAGGGACTGTAAGGGACTCTAAGGGACTCTAAGGGACTGTAAGGGACTGTATAAGGGACTGTAAGGGACTGTAACTGTATAAGGGACTGTATAAGGGACTGTAAAGGGACTGTAGGGGACTGTAAGGGACTGTATGGGACTGTAAGGGACTGTAAGGGACTGTAAGGGACTGTAGGGACTGTAAGGGACTGTAAGGCACTGTAAGGGACTGTATGGGACGGTAAAGGACTGTAAGGGACTGTAAGGCGTTGTAAGGGACTGTAAGGGACTGTAAGGGACTGTAAGGGACTGTAGGGACTGTAAGGGACTGTAAGGCACTGTAAGGGACTGTATGGGACGGTAAAGGACTGTAAGGGACTGTAAGGCGTTGTAAGGGACTGTAAAGGACTGTAAGAGACTGTAAGGGACTGTAGGGACTGTAGGGACTATAAGGGACTTTAAGGGACTGTAAGGGACTTTATAGGGGAGTGTATAAGGGAGTGTATAAGGGACTGTATAAGGGACTGTATAAGGGACTGTAAGGGAATGTAAGGGACTGTAAGGGACTGTAGGGGACTGTAGGGGACTGTAGGGGACTGTAAGGGACTGTATGGGACTGTAAGGGACTGTAAGGGACTGTAAGGGACTGTAAGGGACTGTAAGGGACTGCAAGGGACTGTAAGGGACTGTAGGGACTGTAAGGGACTGTAAGGGACTGTAAGGGACTCTAAGGGACTCTAAGGGACTCTAAGGGACTCTAAGGGACTGTAAGAGACTGTAAGGAACTGTAAGCGTAAATGCGTAATTTCTAGTGACCCTGTGTAAGCAAAGATGGCAATACCCGATTCACAACGGTACCCTTTAGACCTGTGTCTGATCATCAATTAGACAAGAGACATCAATCTTCATAATATTAATTATTTTCAATTGTGGATTCACCACAAAAGTGATTTGCGCATTTCTACAGCAGTAAAACATATATATATATATTATCAAAGTTTAACACTCTCAAACTTTAAAAACGCATTCTCTTGAATCCACACTTATCCAACAGTTCGGTCCATACACCAGCAAACTGAAACTTCCGATCACAATTTTAGCTTTAAATTAACCATTTTGTTGAATATACATTTATAGTTCGATTGAATTCAACTTAAAGAAACCAAACTCATTAAGCCCCGCGGCCCGGGCTAGTTCCGGGTTAGTTCCGGTTGAACCTGCAACTATACAAATCTAATTGGTAAAGAATGTTTTTCTTCAAGTTAAACAGTTATGAAAATGTTTTGCGTTTCAATAAATCTTCCAGAAACTTTTCAAAAAAATTTTAACTGGGGAATTGATGATGAAATTTAACCATTTTTGTTTTTTGTTGTTCTAAGATTTTAAACCTGTCTTAGGAAAATTTGCTTCTGATAAATTTTGCAATATTTTAAGCCAAAAAAGTTAAATATAAGATCCAAAAACGATCGTTATTTAAGGGACAGATCGGATATGTAAGGTAGTTAAACTGAGTATGCAGTGCTGTGGAAAAATTCTTCAGGATTCATTTGAGGCAAATGAAACTTTTCCACGATGTATAATTTCTGAGTTTGAGTGCAAAGTCGACGTTCAAAATCATGAATTTGGGTGGATTGGTTTTCAGAATCGTTTTTTTAGATTATTAAATAACGACGACAAAAAAATAAATAAAAATGATTCAGTAAATTAATTAGATGGTTAGGACCATATTTCTCAAAAGAAATGAGTTGAGTTTTTGCCACAAACTCCAATTTTCTAATCACTTTATCTTTGAAACCGAATGTAAACCTTTATATTTCAAACTTAGAATATTTGATATGTCAGAATTCTTAGTTTGAAATTTCAAAGGTCTACAAGAGCGGGTTGCAAAGATATAAGGATTAAAAAATCTGAGTTTGTGGCAAAAACTTAACTCCTTAGTCAATAAATCAATGCTAGAATCAATTATTTCGTTTTCATCATTATATTGAATTTCTTTTTTTCTATGAATTTATTCAAAGATTTCTACAAATTCTTCAAATGTCGTCTTTTCAATAATAATTCCAGTAAATCTGCAGAAAATCTTTGTGAATAATGAGAAACCAGAATATAATGAGAAAATGGAAACTAATAATTGAACAAGGTTACTTATTCTCGATGATAAGATTAATTTTTATTTTCTCAATCTGTTCCTAAGCAGCTAATTAGTTTACTGTAGAATTTTGTTTACATTTTTTGTCGTCGTTATTTAATAATTAAAAAAAAAACAATTATGATAACGTACCCACCCAAAACTACGATTTTGAACGTCGACTTTGCGCTCAAACTCAATTTACAGATCTTTAAAAAGTTCTATATGTCTCAAATTAATTCTAAAGAATTTGTCCCCAACACTGCATACTCGGTTCAACTACCTTACAGAGCCGGTCTGTCCCTTTAACACGTCTGTTTTGGGTCGTTCTTGGTTGGTTGTTTTTTTGTTTATATTTTCTCTGAGGGTCAAAATTTGAAAGAATGTAAGTGAAGTACATTTTTAGAATAAATAATTTTGAAAAAAAAGATATTGAGTCTTTGTCACATACTTTAATTTTCTAATCTCTATATCTTTGCAACCCAATGCCGCAGACCTTTGATATTTAAAACTATGAATTTTGTTAGATAAAAGGATCTAAGTTTGAAATATCAAAGGTTTACACCATCAGGTGAAAAAATATAGGTATTAGAAAATCAAAAAAATTCAATGCCTTTGGCCTTTAAATTTGGCGTAATTTGGAATGGACATCACTATTCAGGAGGCGACTTGTCTTGAGGTTGATGACATCAAGGTTCTCTTTGGATGCTTTCAACTGTTTGACACAAAGAAGCAGGATTATCTCCTTGCAGACGAAATTGATGAAGTCATGAGGTAAAAGTCGTAGTTTTAATGCATATATATTCAATTTTTCAATTTACAACAGTAACCTTTAAGCCTACAGAAATAGATTAACAACAGTAACCTTTAAACCTACAGAAATAGATTTACAATAGTAACCTTTTTACCTACAGAAATAGATTCACAACAGTAACCTTTTTACCTACAGAAATAGATTCACAACAGTAACCTTTAAACCTACAGAAATAGATTCATAATAATAACCTTTAAACCTACAGAAATAGATTAACAACAGTAACCTTTAAACCAACAGAAAAAGATTTACAACAGTAACCTTTAAACCTACAGAAATAGATTTACAACAGTAACCTTTAAACCTACAGAAATAGATTAACAATAGTAACCTTTAAACCTATAGAAATAGATTTACAACAGTAACCTTTAAACCTACAGAAATAGATTCATAATAATAACCTTTAAACCTACAGAAATAGATTAACAACAGTAACCTTTAAACCTACAGATATAGATTTACAACAGTAAACTTTAAACCTACAAAAATTGAATTACAAAATTAACCTTCAAACCTACAGAAATAGATACACAACATTAAACTGTAAACCTACAGAAATAGATTCACAATAGTAACCTTTAAACCTACATAAATAGATTTACAAAATTAACCTTTAAACCTACAGAAATAGATCCACAACAGTAACCTTTAAACCTACAGATATAGATTTACAACAGTAAACTTTAAACCTACAGAAATAGATTTATAATAGTAACCTTTAAACCTACAGAAATAGATTCACAACAGTAAACTTTAAACCAACAGAAATAGATTCACAACAGTAAACTTTAAACCTACAGAAATAGATTCACAATAGTAACCTTTAAACCTACAGAAATAGATTCACAATAGTAACCTTTAAACCTACAGAAATAGATTTACAACAGTAACCTTTAAACCTACAGAAATAGATTAAAAACAGTAACCTTTAAACCTACAGAAATATTTTCACAATAGTAACCTTTCAACCTACAGAAATAGATTCACAATGGTAACCTTTCAACCTACAGAAATAGATTTACAACAGTAACCTTTAAACCTACAGAAATAGATTTATAATAATAACCTTTAAACCTACAGAAATAGATTCACAACAGCAAACTTTAAACCTAAAAAAATGGATTTACAACAGTAACATTTAAACCTGCAGAAATAGATTCATAATAATAACCTTTAAACCTACAGGCATAGATTTACAACAGTAAATTTTAAAACTACAGAAATAGATTTACAACAGTAACCTTTAAACCTGCAGAAATAGATTCACAATAGTAACCTTTCAACCTACAGAAATAGATTTACAACAGTAACATTTCAACCTACAGAAATAGATTCTTAATAGTAACCTATAAACATACAGAAATAGATTCACAATAGTAACCTTTCAAACTACAGAAATAGATTCATAATAGTAACCTTCAAACCTATAGAAATAGATTCATAACAGTAAACTTTAAACCTACAGAAATAGATTCACAATAGTAACCTTTATACCTAAAGAAATAGATTCATAATAGTAACCTTCAAACCTTTAGAAATAGATTCATAACAGTAACCTTTAAACCTACAGAAATAGATTCACAACAGTAAACTTTTAACCTACAGAAATAGATACACAACAGTAACCTTTCAACCTACNAAATAAAAACAAACAGTCGAGTAATTGTCTCTAAAATAAAAACAAACAGTCGAGTAATTGTCTCTAAAATAAAAACAAACAGTCGAGTAATTGTCTCTAAAATAAAAACAAACAGTCGAGTAATTGTCTCTAAAATAAAAACAAACAGTCGAGTAATTGTCTCTAAAATAAAAACAAACAGTCGAGTAATTGTCTCTAAAATAAAAACAAACAGTCGAGTAATTGTCTCTAAAATAAAAACAAACAGTCGAGTAATTGTCTCTAAAATAAAAACAAACAGTCGAGTAATTGTCTCTAAAATAAAAACAAACAGTCGAGTAATTGTCTCTAAAATAAAAACAAACAGTCGAGTAATTGTCTCTAAAATAAAAACAAACAGTCGAGTAATTGTCTCTAAAATAAAAACAAACAGTCGAGTAATTGTCTCTAAAATAAAAACAAACAGTCGAGTAATTGTCTCTAAAATAAAAACAAACAGTCGAGTAATTGTCTCTAAAATAAAAACAAACAGTCGAGTAATTGTCTCTAAAATAAAAACAAACAGTCGAGTAATTGTCTCTAAAATAAAAACAAACAGTCGAGTAATTGTCTCTAAAATAAAAACAAACAGTCGAGTAATTGTCTCTAAAATAAAAACAAACAGTCGAGTAATTGTCTCTAAAATAAAAACAAACAGTCGAGTAATTGTCTCTAAAATAAAAACAAACAGTCGAGTAATTGTCTCTAAAATAAAAACAAACAGTCGAGTAATTGTCTCTAAAATTGCTGAATAACCTGTAAATCTTATTGCTTCCCCCCCCCCTCTAGGATATGCTTTTATAAATACCTATAAACATATTTAAATTGGGACTGAATTTCAAGTGACCCTCCATTTATAGAGTGACACTACCGATTCACAATGGTTCCCTTAAAAACTTTGTCTGATCAAGTGTGATTTATATATCTATGTTTTGGTTTACAAGAACTGTTTATTTGCATATGTGGTTTCTCCACAAAAAGCACATGTCTTGCTTTAGAAACAATGGAGAAATTATCAGAAATAATTATCAGATTATGGTTTGAAGGGGGCCGCCGTCAATCGGCACTTTCACTTAACATGGGGATACCAGAGGGTCACTTGAATCAACGTTTATAAATTGAAATTGCGTTATGAAATGTTTTAAAAATATACTTCAATTAAAGATAAATTTCAAATTTCATCCTTTTTTTAAAAATACATCTGAAAAAATTATTTGTTTTATTCTGAAAGATGTTTCAAGGGTAGTTTAAATTGCACCCAGCGACCGACGGGTTTCCAGACGCTCTGGCACCCTGGTACGTTAAGCGATCTGGCTGGCAAGCACATTATTGGTGCTTATTTTTACAGTCCATATATATATATATATTCTAAAATATACATACGATATAATGCTATAAAATGTACAAAATTTACTTCAGTTAAAGATAAAGAATAAAATTTATATAATTTTCCTAATCAATTGAGCCTAAAACTCAAAGGAATTGAGTTTTTGCCACAAATTGGCATTTTCTAACCCCTATATCTTTTAACCCTGATGATGTAAATCTTTGAAATTTCAAACTTTGACTATTTGATCTAACAGATTTAATAGTTTGAAATATCAAAGGTCTCGGAAAACCCGTTGCAAAGTTATAAGAATAAGAAAATCAGAGTTTGTGGCAAAAACTCAATTCCTTTCTTTGCAACCTGATTTACAAACTTCTTATAACTAAAACTATGAATTCTGTTAGATCAAATATTTTAAGTTTGAAATATATAAGATTGCAAATATCTATGGAAGGAGAAAATTTGTGAAAACTGTTCCTGTTCCTTTATATGCCTTTGATGTAAAAAATGGTGATTTAACTGGTAGATATTTAAATATATTTTTTTAAGTTATTTATTTTAATAAAATTTTTATTTATTTTTACAATTATAAAAATAATATTAATTTTATTTATATACTACAGCTTGGAACCCCGCCTTTGCCTGGAAATTAAAATTTCTCTAAAAGATTTAACTAAAACCAAGAATGTAAGGCAAGGAAAGTCAATTGCGGTTGTGTATACTCTGCGTACATGTTGAAACCAGTTCTCTCTGGGAGGAATTTGTAAACAAGAATAGGTGCATCTGTGTTCGTTTAGTATCCGAGGAGGTTAAAAGCATTAAATTTTGATAATTTTGATAATTTACATACTAGTTTCCTATGACCAGAATATTTCATTGATTTTTTATGTAAATGATGGATCCCATGTCAGGCTTCGACATCTGTCTTGTGTTTACATTAACGCCCAGAGACAAGTACACTGCAGTACTAAAGATGTGTACACTTCTGAAATGACTTTCCTTGCCTTACATCCTTGACTAAAACCAAGCTGAGATCGTTCCTGTGATTCTATGGAGTTCCCCAGTCAAAATTTGAGGAAGATCAGTCATGGGGTTCTTGAGTTATGATCGGACATACAAACAAACTATCAGAGATTACTACTTTATATTTATACATACATATATATTCGTTTATCTTTTATAAAGAAATCTGACACCCTGGATGACGCTCAAACAATGCATTTTTTGCTCCTTACTTTTCCAGCAAAACATTCACACTTAGTTAGAATAGAAGTAACCTAAATAAACTGAAATTCTTTTTAAAGGAATAATTGAACTAAATATGATGTAGTCCTATATATATTTATTTAATTTATTTAATTTTATCTTTTTTTGAGAGCTAATAAAGCTGAAATTTTTGTATTGTAAGACAATTTTTTTGCAGGGAAACAGTTGAAGACTGAGGCAATAAATTAATTAGCAGCATTCATTGATGTTAAATGTTTTGTTTGCGGGGTATAACACAGTGGAGTTTTTATGCACACGCTTCTAACTGCAACTAATTTACACTGACAAGAACTTTTTTAGGAGTCAACACTTTTGAAATGAAACTTTTAATGTTTATATTATCTTTAGCTCTCCAGTACATGTGTTTTCACAAAATTTAAAGGTAGAGTTTCCCCATATTTTTCCTATTTTTTCTTACTTTCTGTTATTTTCCTTCTGATGTTTTTCCTATTTCATCAAAATGTTATACCCTAAAGTCAATGTTAAAATACTTGCCAAAGATGATCACTGTAGTTTAGCTTTTTAATACAAAAAAATAATTAATTATTCATTGTTTGATAATTTAAATTTTATGGACAACATTTGTGGGTTAATATATTTTTTTGCATTTCCGTCCAACAGTATTAATTTTAATGTTAACATAACTAATTTCTAACATTATGTTGATTTGGGTTGAACTTTAGGGGGATGAACGGTCACAGGAAAGAAAAAAAAGAATGTAGTTTTTAAAATTTGAAATTTAAATCCTGTTTTAGGGCCATGGGGTTCCGTCCATCAGCTGAAGAATTGGCTGAGCTTATAGAGGAGATTGATGAAGATGGTTCTGGTGCTATAGAGTTTCCTGAATTTGCTCAGGAACATATCAACCGATCAAATCCTAAATATATACCCTGAATGCAAAATAACGTAATACAAATTTTTATCAACGTGTTTTTAAGGTGCTTCATGTTACTATACCGTTATAAGTTAACGTTTTTTTAATGTTATCTGGTTTGCAGGGTAAAAATCATTAAAAACATCAAAAAAAACTAAAAATATGAAAATAACTAAAGTAATCATTTCAAAACTCTAAAAGGAGAAAAAAATGTTATTTTAATTAAGTAAATTTAAGAGAAAGACTAACAATCTAAGGTTTACTGTTATTAAAAAGGAATAAGGCATAAGCAGGAGTATTAATTGAAAAAAAACTTTTAATGCTTAATTGATATAAAAAAAAACTTATAATGCTTTAACGAAAAACCCTTATATTATAGTAACTAAATCGAATAAAAAAAACAATTATGCTGTTATAGCTGTAAAAAGATAAAACATTGGACTTTAATGTGCAAACTTTTACATGCCTCATTACCTTTCCAACAAAAATTAAATTTATTGTTTATTTTAGTTGGAAACTTAAAACATTTCACATTTTAAAAAGTTCTTATATTCTTTGACTGTAGGAGGGGGGGGGGGAAGATGGGGGAATTTTGTAAAAAAAACTAAACGAATTTGATTTTTTAGGGTATTTGTAAGTGGGGGAGGGTGGTGTAAATGCCCCCCCCTGCATGTTTTAACCTCAAAAAGCCTTGATCTTTTACCCAAACCCAGTTTCATTCATTTTAGTACTCTCTTAGTTTTCCTCCTCTCAGCTAATTGGACACCATGTCTTTTCAAATTAGAATAGTTCCCCCATAATAATGTCAAACAAAGAAGGGGGTTCATGCTTGAGCTAGAAAAAATGTGAATTTGGATTTTGTCAATGTGTTACAATACTTTCTAATGATTGACAGTTAAAAATATCCCTCTTTCGGTCAAATATCTTTCAGATATCTTAGAGCACTGTAATTTATAGAAAGCCTTGCTGCATATACAATACTGTTTTAAAAGAAATAATTGTTCTGATTATAAACAATGTATTTGTTTTTTATTTGTTTTATTAACCCTTTCCCGATTGGACTATTTTTGGATAGTATAACATCCATTTGTCAATGGCTTTTTAAATAAATAAATTCTAGAAATCACTCCCACCCTTCAATAATATTTTTCCATATTTTGACCTGATTATGTTCTTGTCAGTTATGTGCTAAATTCCTTGTTGAAGACCCAGACCCAGAAACCATGAGAGCTGAACTTAAACAAGCATTCAGACTATTTGACAAGGAGTGCACTGTAAGTACTTTTCTATATCTATATAATAAAACAAGACATTCGTATATTTGTTCCCTATAGCCGCCCTAAAGGCTGTACCAAATGGGCTGACATGGGTAGCCTGGGGGTAACATAGGCTTAACTAAATAATTTGTTTTCCACGGGCAACGCCGGGTCCTTCAAATGGTATTTTATAATATCAAAGAAAGTTGGGAAATCTTTTTTTGAGGGACCTTATGCAGGTTTTCAAGTGACCCTCCATGCAGAGAGGGAATTGTCCGATTTACAACAGTACCAAACAGCTATAACTGAGGACAAAGAACTTTGTGTGATTATCTCCACAATAGTGTTCAAATTGGCGTAAGCTGGAATTGTAAACTCAACAAAGATTCTACGTCCTACGCTGTTTTGCAAAATTTCTAATAGGAATATAAATATTCTGCTATTTACGGCCTGGACTTACTTCCGGTCATTGGATTTCGTCATTTTATAGCTCTCTGGAAAGCCTTGACTGAAGCAGATTGCACAATTTTCAAAGAAATTTTGCGTAGATTTTTTTAAAGAGAATTTTCACATTTTCAGTTTTTGAAAATATTGCAATTTTTTAAATTTGAATTCCCCGTGTTAAGGGCTTTTAAAAAATAATCGCGCACTTTTTTCTTTTGCGCATTTCTTGCTTAATAATTTGATATTGCCATAACTATTTGATAATGAAAATTTTCGAATATTTATGGAAAAAGTGTATTAAATGTTATAGATTTGTATAACAATGAGGAAATAGACTTTTTTGGGTGAACCAGACGTCAGCCTGAATAGGGTTCAGTAAATATTAAAATTTCTCAAATAAAACAAAAACAAAAAAAGAGAAAACAATTACAAGGATATTTGTAGATAAATAAGAGTTAGTCAATCATTCTTGACAAACAAATGGGGGCTGGTGCGGGGGGGGGGAGGGCGACGCTCTAAAAACTCTAAGGTTTTTTCCCGCCTAGGTACGTCGATATTTCCGCGCCAAGTCAAGGGATCCTGTTGTGAATCGGACTCTTCATATAAAGGGTTACTTGAAATTCCACATTCAGTCCCTTTTATTTGTAATTTATGTTGTTTTATATTGACATCTTCGCTAGATTGTAGAAATCCTAAAATGTTCATTGTTTATGCTATCGAACTTTTCAAAAAACATTAGAATTTAAGAATATTTTTTTCAAAATTAAGAACTGAAAAGGGACCTTTGTGAAATATACCTAATATTCTATCCATAATTTAAACACAAAGATGTGTCTTTTTATCTTTTTATGCAATTGTTCATGTCTTTTTAACAGACAATATGAAGACATACACCTGCAAAGGATGGTACTTCAGAGACGACTGTACAGAATTTACACTCTCTATTTCCTTATATTCATGATTCCCTGCAACTGTAAACTTGTCTTTCATTTCATTTAATAAACCATGAAAGTCAGTAATTGAAGATCAAATTTGAACTAAAAATATTAAGGTGTGATCAAGTTATAACTATTTTGAATTTTTTATTACACACAGTGACACAAGCCTAATTGAATTTTACTTTATATCTATGGGTTAAAAATATTAGACACAAACAGACACCAAGACACACATAGTATTTGCATCTATAAATTAATTTTTCTTCCAGGGATTCATTACGATGTTGACATTCCGGAGTATACTAGCCGAAGTTGACCCTAAGCTAACCGAGGAAGATCTTGATCAAATCATCTCTGAGATCGATGAAGATGGCAGCGGAACAATGGACTTTGAGGAGTTTTGTGAACTAATGATGGCTACGCCTGAGGATAATTAATATCCAGCACAAATGTTTCCATAAACATTTTTATTTTTACGTTTCAAACACAAAAAAAATTTAAGGATAAACAATAGTTCTGTAATGTTTACATAAGTTATGCAAAATGAGGGATAAGTTAATAACCGAGTTGATATTAGGGCAGTTAGTTATCTGAAAATGTTTATACTGTATATGTCGGCCATTTTGGCGCTTTTTTTATGTCTGTGTCTAAATCTGTGAAAATAAATTGTACTTTCCTGAAACTCTAGTTTTATATTACTAGACGCCCTTATATATAACAATTTGAGCGTTTCGATGTTGGTTTCTAAGCTGCCAGTTTTCTTTACACATATAGCTGTGGATTTTTCCCCAAGAAAATTCACATTAATTTTAGGCACAATTTTTCAATTTCGACCAGCCCTACCATCTCTTTGGGCCAATTAGGTTTAGTTGTTTTGACGTCTATTTGATACAAACAAGGAAGATAATTCTTCACTTAATTATAATTATAGAGATGAATTCATATAATCATTATTAATCTAAAGTTTTAAAAAAAAAATCAAATAAATCAAAGCCTGTTTCTCAAAAATTACAAATCAGACCAAAAATCTGCTTTAAAATAGCAATTTTACAGAATATTTTGTGTACAGAGTTACCCACAAAGGATGAGACTTTAATAACGACTGTACGGAATTTATATTAACTATTTACTTATATTTAGGATTCTCTGCAACTGTAAAGTGTAAACTGGTTTCTTTCATTGCCTTGCCAATAAATAGGCCATTAAAAGCCATTAAGCTGAAGATTTAATTTAACCTTGTAATTGTCATATTTTATAATTTTCAGGTTGTCTTCATACATTCTAATTCTTAATGTACAGATTAGGGATTATATCAATACAATGAAGACGACTTTTTTATTTAAGTTTTGATTGTTTATAAGCTTTTTTCAAATTACAAGTTTACAAGTAATCAAATAGAAGATTTTCTTGATTTCTATGTTTATGCTATTTAACAGCTTGATATAAATAAGATTGAAATCGAAAGTCGTCTTCATTGTATTGATATGTATTGATATAATTGCCTACCACTGTAAGTACTCCTGTATGAAACCTCTCTCTCTTAATGTATTTTAAACTGGAAAAACCAAACTATATCTCTCTACTATAGAAAGAAAAGGTTTGACTCATTACATTCATTTAAAAGTTTTCAGCCCAGATGGATTGTATAGGGATCAGAGGGTGATCAGAAAAATATATTTTGATGTGAAATAGCGTGCTAAAATATTGTTAACATTTTATACCAAGACAGAATTTTACATTGCTTGACATTCTGTTCCCATTGACATGCACACAATTGCAGCATCATGCATCCAAGAGCATCCATACCACCTGGGCACAAATGCTTTTGGGTCCACATTCAAATGGTAGCATCTCAGGGCAGGCTTGTGGCATAGATGGACATTTAGTTCCCATTGGCATGCACAAATGTGGCATCATGCAACCGATAGTACCCATACCATCAGAGCAAACAATTTTTTCAGGTATTCAACGGGTCGTATCTCCGGGCTTGCTGTTGGCATAGCAGTTACAGTGGAGAAAATCAGTGGAATCAGAAACCCAATCATTGTGAAGACAGTTGTTAAAGCAACTAATGCCGATGAACTTTTTGTAGAAGCTTCTATACCCAAGGATTATAGGAAAACTTACGGTGATCACTATCAGTGGAAGAACAAACATGACAAATAATTAATTTTTACTTTATATATTTTAGCCTGATTAATAGAATAGATAATGCAAGTTTCACTATTCTGGTGACCAACCCGGGATAAATGTAAAATATACAGTACTCAGTTCGCAATCCACATAGATCCAGACTTCTTTGAAAAGTTGAATCATTTTTATGATTAAGTTGACTTTCATTTTACCTGACTTAAACTCACTCATACTTTATCGTAGCACCAGGCATGTACATTTTAAAACCATAAAGCATTTAATTTGTCTTATCTTTTGTGAAATAATTTGCATAAATCTCAATAATATTTGCGTGAGAACTTCAAACCTTTGGTTTTCTGTGACTCTTTTATACCAAATAGAGTTGGGCGCATTCGGCTTTTTTCATTTCGTTCGTTCATCTTCATGAACGACCCATTTCGTTCGTTTTTTTTCAATCTTTCAAAACATATTTGATTTTGTTCATTCTCAAAATTATCGATCATTTTCCATCTATTTTGTTCATTTTATCACTGATTGATCGTTAGTTAAAATCGTTTGTTCTCTGAAATAATTTGTTCAATAAAATAGTTCGTTCAGTTAAAAAACAATTGTTTTTTTCAAAGGTTTGTTCGAAAAAAACGTTTCTTTCGTTCATTTAGTAAAAAAACGATAGTTTTTTCAAGTTTGTTCAAATTATTTTTCATCGTTCGTTTTTTTTATCGATCTTTTTTATTTCTTTGAACAATCCATCGTTCGTTTTTTTTTCTGAACGACACACTTTTTCACGAAAAGTTTTGTTCGTTCCCAAAAATTTCATTCGTTTAAAAAACGATACCCATATCTTTGATCACTATAGTTTCAGTAGAAGTAAATATTTCCATTTAGTGCATAGCGCCGATACAAGGATCTCTAATTGAATGATGAGATAGATAGAAAGATAAATGTTACAACCATGCAATTTCTATTGGTTCAGAATAAACACCAAATACCCTGATTGGATCAGGCGCTAATGGCGCTTTTTTCAATTCGGTGATGGTGATGGACCAAATCTCTGTAGAGTAAAAAAAGGAGATGTTAGTTCCACTGAAAATATATTTCGGTCTGGGTTGAACCTCGTCAGTTCTAACGATATAATAACCATCGAAATCGATAAAAAAAAAATTTAAAAATTTTTGTAAAAAATCACAAGAAAATAAACAAACAAAAAAGGTTATTCAAAATAAAAATTTGGGCTGTCAAATGAATATAAGGGAAACGAACTCAGATTATGAGACGGAAAAAAGATAATTTGCAAATATTCACGTTTAAAAAAAATGTTTTAAGACAATTATTAAGTTTGTTATACTGGAGAAGAGAAATGTAAATAAATGACGGATTGACTTTTTATTGACTTCACTTATTAACTAACCAAAGTTGTCTTTAATAACATTTAGGCTTGTATTAACTCTGTTTGAGGTTATGCACAGCACAGTGTACAGTAAGGACCAGAAAACTGTGGAATAGGAAAACGACAATATTTACCAATATTTTTGTGTATTTGATGTTGTAATCAAGAGAGCATATCAGTTGGCTTAACAAATTAACTTATAAGTAAACTGGGCATGTTTTTACTGCAAATCTGATGTTTAATGATTTAAAATCTTAACTTGAGTTTAAAAGTCATCTTCCTTTGTCACAGTTTTATTGTTCTCACTAGCTGCATTTGCTACGAGCTACCAACTGGTTCAAACACACCTCAAGTGCTCACTGCACTGGTTCAAATCCTGAATCCCCGATTCTTCAAAGTTCTAGATTTTAAACGACCATGATTTGAATCAGCTGATACAGAGAAATATTCCGCCAATTCCAACCAATCAGTGCGCAACAAATATTGGGTTCATCAATCTATAGGCCGAAAAAGGTCTATAGTAGTACTGGCACGACATGCTATATTTCCACGAGAGGTTTTTGACTGCCATCTAACGGCCATTTGTTGCACATAGTAGACATTCAGGGGTTAAGTTTTACAATTCAAATATAAATACTCTAACCTTTTGCATTAAAACATAAAATTTCACGAATTTAGTCTATTTTTGAAGATTTTAAACTTCGTATCAACAGAATCCTTAAATATCCCTGATTACGGATATCTGTTTTTTGGAATTGTGTATTCTAGCTGTGCACAATGAAACCTGCGGTGGAAAATATCGCATATTATAGCCTTTAATAGATTTCTGTATCCAACACGAGAATTGAGTCTTTGCCACAAACTCAAAGTTTATACTCTCTACATCCCTTCAACCTGGTCATGTAAACCTTTTATATTTCAAACTGAAAGATCATTTGATCGAACACAATTTTTCTTTTTGAAATATTCAATGTCTACGACATTGGGTTGCAAAGATGTAAGGATAAAAAACTCGAAGTTTGTGACAGACTCCATCACTTTTAAGAACAGGACATAAGATGGTTTGATTTTTTGTATAAATTAAAATTTGTTATGTAAACCAGAATTTTAAAATGGCAGGACTACTAAAAACATTATTTTGAGATAAACATTCAATCATAAAACATTTTGTTTTATGGTTTTAATAAATTAATAAATTCTCAAACTAAATTAAGCTTTGATATTTCTTTTAGATAATTTATTAAGGATACATTTAGATATAGAAATACATATATATACTGAAAAGATTTCAGAAATAAATAATTGTGGAATCTGAAAAGAACGCAGAATTTTTCATAAGTTCTATTTCGTTTTTGTTAAACAGATCTTTGAGTATTTAATATTTATCACATTTAATATTATTATATTTTAGTCCACTCCACTCCATACTATATCTTCAGAATCATTCAATCTAAAAAATAATTTGAATAAATGACATCGTTAAGGTGGTTTTACCCAGCAAACAACAGTCGAGTTAAACTCGGGGTTCAGTAAAAAACAGTCGAGTTAAACTCTGAGTCCAGTAAACAACAGTCGAGTTAAACTCGGAGTCCAGTAAACAACAGTCGAGTTAAACTCTGAGTCCAGTAAACAACAGTTGAGCTAAACTCGGAGTCCAGTAAACAACAGTCGAGCTAAACTCGGAGTTCAGTAAACAACAGTCGAGTTAAACTCGGAGTTCAGCAAACAACAGTAGAGTTAAACTCAGAGTTCAGTAAACAACAGTCGAGTTAAACTCAGAGTTCAGTAAACAACAGTTGAGTTAAATTTGGAGTTCAGTAAACAACAGTCGAGTTAAACTCAGAGTCCAGTAAAAAATTAATCTCGGAGTTCTAAACTAGTGTCTACCTAGTTTTCCATCCAATCCAGTTTGCTGGGTAGAGTTTAAAAAGGAACAAAGGGTTAAAAAATGGTCTAAAACAATTTATACAGTGTTGCCTTTGTTCTTCTTTTTACTTTCAAGAAATGTTGCTGTAACTCAAAAAGTTTCGTACTGTCTCGTTTTGTTTAGTATAATCTGTATGTGTACGGTACAGCATCGCTCTAGCTGGTTAAATGTCGGCCTGGTTCTTAAAATGAACTGGACTGAACAGTGCAGATATGGGTATTGTAATTTTCAATTGTTACGGATATACCTTTTAATATGTTCAGTGCACTTTATTCAAGAAAGCTTAGTTACTAAAAATGTCATTATAAAAGAAAACAGAATACAGGGTTACCCACAAAACTTTTATTTCTCATATTCTTATAGATCCTCCAGCTCCTTATATATATTATATATATATTCATTTGAAGACTATTTTCAATCATTGGATCTTCATTGAAGAGTTTCAGGTCATCATTAAGTCTCATATTTTTAGGGCAACACCCTGTATCTTTAAACGCATTCAGCAACTATTTGGGTTTCTTTAGTTTTAAACTTTTAATTTTAAAGGAAGAAGACATGGACGGCTGGGGGAGGGAGGAGTTGCAACCCTCCTTTCTGTTTTCGTTTTTGGTTATTTGTGTTGAATCACAGAAAAATTTTTTCGTAAATAAATCTATATTTGATGTTGACCTAACCGTAGTGGACTGCTCTTGCACCCAAACCACCAGAAACCAGTGTCACGCGGGAATGCCGGGTTCGCATCTTCATCTACACTGAAACTGTCGTCATCCCATCTAAATCAATCAACCAACTTATTTTTCTATTTAATGACATTAGAAAGCAGCTACGTAATTAAAAATTTAAGAAAAATTACAATGATAATGACAATGATAATGACAATGATAATGACAATGATAATGACAATGATAATGACAATGATAATGACAATGATAATGACAATGATAATGACAATGATAATGACAATGATTTACCTGTAATATTTGCCATTCTTGAAGAAGTACACTTTGCCATTACTGTACTGTACTGCAGCATCTAATGTAAGAGAATACAAATAAAAATTGTATAGTGATACCTAAAAACTTAGAAAGACGACACTTAAGCAATCTTAAGTGTATTTGATGTTTTTATAAATGAAATAAATTTTCCAGTATAGCTTGAAATCCAAGTTATTCAATGAAATGCGTGTGCTAAGTTTCATGTTCATTCGACTATTTAACATCATAATTTGGGTCTATAACAGTCGTCTTCCAATTCCACAATTTCATATAATTCTCAGTGTAAATTAAAAACATTGTTTTCTCATGAAATTTTTTGTCTCAATAAAAAACAGTTTTTTTACCGCAGACTTAAAGGGAAAGATTTCAAGTGTAACCACAAAAATGACTAATCTTGAAATTAGCAAGAAAAGGGGAGGGAGGGGGGGCATTCGTGGTTTTTAAAGTATTCACAGTACAGACAACATATCCAGTTGTTTTCCCGGTTTTTTTAAAGTTTAATAATTGTTGAGAAAAGTCTGTTCAATGTTTCGTAATTCGTGTCTTTTGAAGAATTTGTCAAAGTTTCAGAACAATCGATGTTATAATGTAAATCATTCCGTTTAGTTGTTAATTAGAAAAACAAGAAGAATCGATGTTATAATGTAAATCATTCCGTTTAGTTGTTAAGGGGCTGAAATTAAAAAACAAGATTATTTGGTATTCCACTCCAGTTATCTATTGGTCTAGGATAAGAGTCCGCTACCGGGGGCTGAAATTAAAAACAAGATTATTTGGAATTCCACTCCAGTTCTCTACTAGTCTATGATAAGAGTCCTCTACTGGAGGCTGAAATTTAAAACAAGATTATTTGGTATTCCACTCCAGTTCTCTATTAGTCTAGGATGAGAGTCCGCTACCGAAGACTGAAATTAAAAAAAATTTTTTTTTTTAAATTTCAAAATCATTCTGATTTAATAAAAAAAAACTGTCATAATAAATTGTGAATCAAAGCTATTCCAACTTCTTCATAATAACAACAGCAAACGCATTTATGAAGATCCTCCAGGTATTTAACTTTTCTTGACAACAACTAAAAATTATTTTTAAAATAGTTGAGATTGAGAGTTCCAAACTCATGATATTTTTATGATTAAAAAGTTCTTACCACTCCCTCTGGGTCAAACTTCCAGTATTGAGAACCTGAAATCCATCAATCAATTATCAAATAAAAACGTGGTTAAATGAACTGTAGACGCGTACTCGTATTTTTACCCGACAATGACTTGAAAAAAGAACCCACTATTGAAACTAATATGATACAAAGGCTTAGAAGGTGTGAATTATGTACAGGGTGTCCCAATAAACATGGGAATTCAGTGATGAATTCTATATCGTCTTTTAAAATAATTCTTTGATTTAGTATGGTGATACCTACTGAGAAAGCTGTAATCTGTTAGAGTTTCGTCTGCTATGTTCACATTTTGTTCGTTTATGTTTTGACTGCATACGGGTTTACTTAGTAAAAGAAGAAAATTGCAGTATACAAACAGAGTAAACTTGGCCGTCTTCACTGTTCATCTTGCGGAGACATTATACACACATCTTTACAATCTTTTACCCTTTTCATAAAATAAACTCTAGCTAACATAATAATAATATGGCTTTTGAAATCAAATATTAAAATGCTAATTTATCACAAAGACGATATCGAATTCGTCACTGAATTCCCATGTTTTTTGGGGACACTCTGCATAATACAAAAGCGTAGAAAGGTATCGGTGTGAATTGTGTAAAATAAAAACTAATTGATCCATAATGGATTAAAAAATACATTATTTTTCTTGCCATATTAAAGTATGGGTTTTTGTGACAATAGACAGAATCTTTTTAAGTTTATTAATTTCGGATAATTTCAATTAATTAAAATTCATAATTTTTCATTTTACATTGCTTCTTTGTATGCCTCAATACTTAATTTCTTTTAAAAGATGTATTTTTTTTGTGCGGATACCGGATCATGGATCATCACAAAAACAAATCCTATCTGATAATATTACCAATATTCAATTTAATTACTAATTTGGAAATTAAACTGTCGCTATAAACGTTAACCAACTCAACCTTATAAATTCGTTCCCGTGCACTTCTACTGAGCTCCTCAATCATAAGGAATTGAGTTTTTGTCACAAACTTCAAATTTTCTAATCCCTATATCTTTGCAATAGTAATGATAAAGTAAACCTTTGATATTTAAACTTATTTGATCTAAAAGAATTCATATTTTGAGAACTTGACTTTCGAATAGTGAGTTAGCACAGACCATGCTGCCGAAGATCTCTGTGTAAAATTAAACATGGAGGCCTTGCACACCCTACTATAAGAAACAGAAAAAAATAGTCCAGAGTTTGGGGTCTTTCTCCATTTCTTCCCCAACCTCTCGCCACAAGAAACATAGAAAAATAGAAAGCAGAATCCTGAGAGGTTTTGAACCGTGCACAATGATCCCGGTTTTCTACTCTGTCGGCTTCAAGGAATGGATTGCTATGGACGAGGCAGTCTCTGTCCTGAAGTAAAAAGTGCAACTCCCCATTTAAGTAATGTCGTGCAACTCCAATAGGAACACTGTAAAACCGGAGAAAGCAGGGATATTCTGTGGGAATCCTTCAATACCTCCCTTCCTGTACTCCTGTACATTCCTTACCTCCGTACCTACTGTTCCAGAACTCGACGTTACTAAGAGCCACTCTAAGATAACCAAAATAGAGAAATCAGTAAGTTTGAAATTTCCAAGGTCTACAACTTTGGCTGCAAAGATATAGGAATTGGAAAATTAGAATTTGAGGCAAGGACTCAATTCCATTGAGTCAAATTGATTCCAGGGTTTATGGAATATGATCGGACATACAAAAACAAACGCACAATCATAGATTACTATTTTATATCTAAACTAGATTGGAAACCCAACTTAGTCTGGAAATTAAACTCTCTCTAAAAAAGTCAACCCTTAAAATTAACTAAGAAATTCAAAACCATAAGATAAGAACATTCCTGAACATGATGGGACAGACAAACAAACAGACAGAGATTAATACTTTATATATATAGATAATATGTTAATTGTTGATTTCCTTTGAAGAAGTATATTTTGTTATTGACCGGCCACACAAACGCTGCGTCAACATTCTCTGGAATACCACTGAACCCTGCAGACATATCCTGAAAACAACCTGTTTGAAGGAAATGCTCTGTACAGAACCGTAATTTAAGTATCCAGCTCCAATGGGTGTGTTCGATTCGCAACAGTACGCTGTAAACCTTTAACTGAGTAACAATAGGACAGATATTTTCCTATTCAATCTTTAAGATTGTTGAACTCCGAAAATTTCCAGTTTCTGCTGCAGAAATGCCCAAGTCACGTTTAACGAGAAACCACAATTGGAAATAATCAGTTTTTAGCCAGAAAAGAAAACTAGGATATCTCATTCATTAATAATCAGGCACAGGTTGAAGGGATGGAAAAACAACTTTTCTTTCCCATTCTCACTCAGATAAAGGTTTAAAGGATAGCTTTGTTAATGGAGTCTTTAGTCCACTTTAGGGAGTCTGTCCTTTTAAACATGATATTTCAGCAATTGATTATATAAATTATCAAATCTTTATAAGTACTCAAAATAAAAAATGATAAAATTAGAATTTGTCGCAATCTTCATTCTTTTTAAGATCTCATTGTCCAAAAAAAAATTTTAGACGCTGTTATTAAATTGTAGATTTTTTTTGAAAAAATTAAGTGAAAAAAATCAAGATCAAGAAAGATTTTAAAACTTTTTTGCTCGAAAATTAAGAATATTGAGCAAATTACTGTTTTAAAAAGCTTCTTAAAGAAATAAAAAAGTTGACAATCAATGCACACATTTCTCGTTACCGCTGTAAAACAAAATTTATTCGACAAAACTCTGAAATTGTTTGCGGGTAACATTTAAAACTTTAAATCCCTTTTGACCTCTATAAGACATAATTGGTAAAATATATAGAAACCCTTTATACAATTGTACCTATAAATTCTGGAAAACATCTTTCTATGAATAAAAACAAAATTTTGTACTTTTTTTGTAAAATTATAAAATCTCTAAAATAGTTTGCTGATTAGTGTACAATAATATTAAACCATTATTGGAAGTTTATTCTTCTAAAACGAAACTTTTAAAAAACACAAAACTCCAATACTGTTTGCTTCAATAGGTTTAAATACCTTGTGATAGACGCGAATATTGTTTGCTTGCTGGGAATATCTTTAATGGGCTTAATACCTTTGGATAAACGCGAATATTGTTTGTTTGAAACATATTTAATAGGTTTAAATACCTTGGGATAAACTTGAATATTGTTTGCTGGGAGCATATTTTATAGGTTTAAGTGCCTTGTGATAAACTTGAATATTGTTTCTGGGAGCATAACAGGTTTAAATACCTTGGGATAAACTCGAATATTGTTTGCTTGGAACATATTTCATAGGTTTAAATATCTTGTGATAAACTTTAATATTGTTTGCTGGGATTATGTTTAATGGATTTAAACTACCTTGGGATAAACTTGAATATTGTTTGCTGGGATTTAATGAATTTAAACTACCTTGGGATACTCCGTATCTAGAGTTCCATCTGTGAACCTCCAATATCTTGAGCCCTAGAACAAATATATCTCCAGTTTAATATTATACAGTGGGACAGATACAACTCAAGTTATTAACAAGATTTAACTTGTCAAAATTTAACATGACACCACACCAAAATGATGTATAATGTATACACGAGTACAGACTTGACTTGATTTTAAACCTAATTGTAAAAATATTTGCGTTATTACAACAGAAAATGCCCATACTAATTGTCGTCTTACTCTTCATCACATGTATTGTTCCCACTGAGAAAACTCGAGCTTGTCCATCAGTTATACGTAGTGTGAGATTTGATGCACACATCTTTAGATATTGCCATTTTTAACAATTTTGATGATGTATTGAAAATGAATGTGATAATTAATTGGTAAACTGTAGAGTAATGTCTTCATACTTGGAAAAAACTATGCAGAAGATACAAAATATTTATCTTTTTAATTGGTTACAGCAGGGTTTCTTAGAAGCATAAGGGTTAAAACCGACCTATACAGATTGCATCTTTAATTCATGATTCATCATTGCTAATTCTATAATTGTCTTTTCAGAATCATTTATTAAACTTCATGGAATGAAGTTTATTAAGATTTTCAAAGAAAACGCTGATTTTCTAATTCATCTCTCTGCAACCCAATGTCATAGATCTAAGATATTTTAATCTATGAATTCTGTTGGATGAAATAATCTTATTTAGTAACATGGAAGGTTTACACCATCAGGTTGAAAAGATATAGGGATTAATAAGTTTGAGTTTGTGACAAAGACTCGATTTCTTTAACCATCATTCAAGTTCAAAATCTAATACGCAGTGGGAACCAGCCTGATTATAAATTGTATAACCAACCTTGAAGAAGTATGTTCTACCGTTAGTCCAGGTAAATGCAGCATCTAAATCACTGGGAAGTCCAGCCCAATCCTCAGATATACGTCTACAAAGTTTAATCCAGGTACAAGTACAGGTACAAGTACAAGTACAAGTACAGGTACAAGTAGAGGTACAAGTACAGGTACAAGTACAGGTACAAGTACAGGTACAAGTACAGGTACAAGTACAGGTACAAGTACAGGTACAAGTACAGGTACAAGTACAGGTTGGTTAAATACCTCGGATATCCTGGGGCAATGGAAGACTCTGTCAGCCTCCAGTATTCCCTACCTGAAAAATATTTATTTTCTTTTTTAACTAAAACCTAAAGGAATTGAGTCTTGGCCACAAACTCTGATTTTCTAACCCTTATATCTTTAAATTGAAATGTCGTGGACCTAAGATATTTCAAATTATGAATTCTGTTAGATTAAGTAATATAAGTTAGAAATATTAAAGATTTACGACATTGGGTTCCAAAGTTATAGAGATTTTAAAAGCAGAGTTTGGTCTTTCGTATGTTATCTTATACTATAAAGATTTATTCACACACAAAGATATAAATACATATGTAAATGGTGTAGTTTAAATTTATGTTTAAATAAATTTTTGAAAATACAGGTTTCCAAGAGAAAAGAGAAAAATATGCAAAATTTTGGACAAACAGACGTGTTGATCACTCATTACATTACATATTTATCATTTCAGTTATTACGTAATCATCGAATCCTTCAACACATAATTTCTTCAGCTGATGTTTTACACTACCAAGTAATAGAAAATAGATTTACCTAGAAAAGCATAAGTTGTTCCATTCTGCAGAGTAACCATTGTGTCTATTTTACCTCTCTCACACAAACCTCTTAAGAAAATTACAATCAATGAGATAAACGCTCTTAACTGATGTTGATAATCCCATTCCCGGTATTTACTAAAGATTTTTTATTTTACTATAATGTAGATATAATGTAGAATATAGATATAAAAAGCTTTTCCTCTAAATTTTTATTTTTGTTAAAAATTCCTGTTCTTATTCACATACTTATATTAAAAATTTAGATACTATTCAAGATATAATATTGAATTGTATCAATTGATTAATTGATTGATTGATTGATTGATATCTTGATTGATTGATTGATTATATCCCTATTGTCTACAGAAGGTTGTGTAGTTGAAGGTGGCGAGGGAGGATCAGGGAAGAAAGATCTACGAGTTGTTTCTTCTCTCTGACGAGGTTCTACAGGTTTAAATTCAAAATAGAGAAAATAAAATAGTTTTTGAAAATTCAAAAAATAATAGTCTTTAATTTTTTTTCCATATCTAAGGTTTTTATGGACATTTTTTCAAACTGCACTGTAGGTTTTAAATATTTTCGCCTGAAACACTTAAACTTATGTATGTTTTTCTTATATTTTATAATTACTTACTTACTTACACATAAAAATTGAATATTTATTATTTATTTTTAAAGTATTTGAATTAAAGAAAATATTCTCTAAAATGATTTCCTATAGCGTTTACTGCTGTTTCCACAGAGTTCTAAACCATGCCAAATATAAAAAAGGATTTAATTGATTTGTTTTTACTTCAACAGAAATGTTAAAAATTCAAAATCAAATAAATGAATGAACATTATATAGGCCTGTTTTATAATGCAAATATTTTTGGATTAAAATTATAGGAATCTAGGTCATTGTACAAAGAAAAAAATGTAACCCAAATATTTTCAAAAATCTGTCCTCCCCCTGACAAATTTTTTAAAATTCATTTTTAAAAGTCACATTGAAGGGAACCCTATTTCTCCCTTGAGCTGTCATCATGCTGGCAGAGTTTCAAATAGAAAAAAAACAGAACTGATTCTCGAAATTATAACCCTCATTGAGTTTGTTTAAAGGTTTTAGAAATGATACAATTTACAATATAATGCATTCCTTTGTCTTTTCTCCGTAAAGGGCTTCGATTCCTTCAATGTCATCGCTAGACAAGCTGACATCTTTCTCATAACCTCTGAACAATTATATGTATAAAAATTGCAATTTTACTTTTGAAATTCAAATAATAATGTAAAGGAACGGATACCAGCATAAAACTTTACATTTTTATCTCAAACTCTTAGTGAATAATGGTGTGAACAGAGGCACAATTAGGGGGGGGGGTGCAGCCGCCCTCCCCTATAGCTCCCCGATTAAGGGGTGGAAATTTAAAGTTTGAAAACAGGAACATATGGAAAACATTTTCTAAAAAGATTGTTTCAAAGAACAAATGGTCCACATTTGTACAAAAATACAACATCTGCTCTAGGGCGGCCCTGTAAAAATTGTTTAGAGGTGCTCTTTTTTTGAATAGATAAATATGAAAATAAGAAAAATCCAAATATTTTTTTGGGACGACTATTTTACCTGCCGCCAGAAATTTTTTTAAAAATTTTTTTTGATTTTATTACTTAAATTTTTCTTAAAATCCTAGGATGTTGACTAAGAATGATGTTTTGTTAATCCCAGGCCATTATAAACTAAAAGACAAAGCCAGTTAAATAACTTTGAATATTTTCAAAATTCCTAGTTTTATTAGCAAATTTAGCGCCATTATCATATTGATGCTTGCACTTGCACCGTAATTATAGCATACCTTTAGAACTGAAAAAAAAATTGTTTGGTTAGGCTTTCTATATGATATCCTTATTTAAAATTGGAAATGACTTTAAAAATGGTTGATTTATTAATAGTTTAAAAATTCCGTCTTTTGCATTTTTTTTTGAAAACTGTAACTCTCTTTAATTTTCATGACATATTTGGACATTTTCCACTTGCACTTCATGTTCATAAAACACTTAGTTTTTGACTTAGAACGTTGTTTATCATTTTGGAAACCCAAGTTACTACTTAAAAAAAAAAATCTTTGTTTTTTTAAAAATTTTCAATATTTCTGCAAAGAAATTGAGTCTTTGCCACAAATACTGATTTTCTAATCTCTATATCTTTGCAACCCAATGTCGAAGACCTTAGATCTTTCTGTGAATTTTTTAAGAAATAAAATAAAAGAAAATGAAAAATTGCCAAAAAATCACGTTTTTTCTGGTGGCAGGCGAAATTTAGTTTCATATATAACATATTCAAAAGAAAAAGAGCACCTCTGAACAATTTTTACAGGGCCGCCCTAGTTGGCCCCCCCCCCCTTCATGAGATATCCTAGTTGCACCTCTGGCTATTTATACATTGACTAATTTATCTCAAGAGTTCATAGTTTGAAATTTAAAAGGTTTTTAATGACTGTATAACTAAGAGGGATTAGAAAGTTTGAAATTGTGACAAGTAACCCGTGCTTTGGAGCTTGTAAGCAAAGAGACACTTAAAACATCGCAGCTAAAAAAAAAATTCAGTTTTTTAATATTTTTTTTCAATAATATCTGAAACAAACTAGATAAAAAAAAACAATTTAGGCAAATTTAAAAAATCAAAAAATTCAATAATAATTTTGTCAATTACTGCAGAATTTTAAAATTTGATTTGTTAATTTTGGATAAAACTTAAAATCATAATAAAACTGACCAAATATAGAAAATAAGATAACAATTGTTTTTGTTCAATAACCTATAAAATATATAGAATAAGATAATAATTGTTTTGTTTAATTACCTATAAAATATAGAAAATAAGATAATAATTGTTTTGTTTAATTACCTATAAAATATAGAAAATAAGATAATAATTGCTTTTGTTTAATTACCTATAAAATGGAGCCATTAGCGCTGATCTATCGTTAGAATGTGAGAGCCCCAATGAATGCCCCAGTTCGTGAGCTGCAGACATTAACAAACTAAAAATAAGAATGTTAAAAACATTTTTAATTTCAAAATGTTTAAATAGGTTTAAGAACCTACTCAGGGGCTTCTATATAATTATTCAACCATTTTTATAAAAAAGATAATTTTATTTTCATATTTAAGATTTATTTTTGTTCATTAATAATTAAGTATTCTTAGATCAGATAAAATAAAAGATTGAATTATGTAAATTAAAAGTAAATGACGTGTCTGATAAAGGAACTGAGGTCTTGCCACAAACTCTGATTTTGTTTTCCTATATCAATGCAACCTGTAATGGTGCAACCTTTGATATTTTAAACTTAGAGGTCTGCAGATTAAATAGTCTATATTTGAAATATCTAAGGTTTACATTATCAGGTTGCAAAACAGGGAACTAGCAATGATGAATTTGTGGCAAAAACTCGTGGTCTTATTTTATTGCAGAGAAATACATGAGCATGACTAAAAATTTAAGTCAAACATTCAAAAAAATTTTTCAAATAACATTAAAAGAAATAAAAAAATTGAATTAAATTGAACTTCGATAGTAAAATGCTGGCTGAAGATTAAAGATTGCAAGAAAAATTCCAATTATAAACAACAGCTGACTTAATTTTAATAAATATGATATCTAAACTAACAGATTTCAGATGATCTTTTTAACAATGGAGTCGTCTTGCTACAGATGTTCATCCATCGATTCCAGGAATATTTGTTTAAAGAAATTTTTATGACAGTTATACAGTTCATGGACATTTGTTTCCCTTTTTTTTAAGTTGAGAACTAGAGGAGGGTTCTCCGAGCTAAGTTTCCAAGACGAACTGAAGTAAAAGACGAACGGTTAATGGAAATTTTCTAGACGGACCATAACCATCAAAACTGAGGATTTTGAAGTCAACAACGAGAGCTGCTACTACTGACTTAGACGACATAATCTGATTAACATTGAAGATACAAATTTGAAGACATAAGGACAATACAATTCTAGCCATCATCCGATCCGTAAGTTAAATCTGGCCAAAAGCCAGTTCATAAACAACTTAATCATTTACATTAAAAACAAGCGACTTTCTTTAACATCTTTCCCAATAAAATAAAGTATGAAGTAGTCCCTGGTCTCAGGAATTATGTTTTCTAAGTAAATACATTCTTAAAAAGTACGTTAAAAGTATGTTAAACTTTCTGAGCTTTATTAAACAAGTCATAATTAGTCAAATTTGCTGGAATTACTTAGAAAATAAGATTTACTTAGAGTTCATTCGATATATATAGACGCCTAGCGGTAATTACATTAACTAAAACTCCTTTGAATATAGCAACGTGCAAGACAGTCCAACCAATCGACACAGAACATTACCATACACGACTCTACCAGGATTCAACCAATAAGATACTTGTTTCCTTGCCTTAGGCAAGACAGGATTATAATAGGTTTGCAAGCAGTTACGCAGTTAGTAGTAGTACAGGTTGTATCTATCTATCTATCTATCTATCTATCTATCTATCTATCTATCTATCTAACTTTTAGAGATGTTGACAAAATTCTTATAGTTTTCAGTTTTCACATCAGACTGCGAATGTATTAGCTTATGCATTTGCAGTGTATGAGACAATAAACATGGTAGTTGAGCTGAAAGTGCAGTAGTGTAGAGAAAAACTTTTAGATTAATTTGATACCAATATGCACAGACATTTTTATGGTGTACAATTTTTAAATAAGAGTGTAATGTTTTTGTAATGTTTCAGTTAGCAGAGGAAACGTTTAATTACAATTCTGAAATAACATGAAGAGTTGCATATATACAAACAATGAACTTCTATCATTGGAAATCTGACAGGTTTATGCAAATTCTTTCATGAAATTCACCTTGGTCGCTTTTTTTATTATTTTAATTGTGGACATGTTTAAGAAATCTGCGAGTTTTTTTTTTAAGAACAAAGATAATAGTGATAATCTCGATCGATAATTTCTTTTAAGAAATATTTTGCTGGCTAGGAAATTAGTCTATAAATAAACTTTTTTTACATGTTTTGTCATGGTTTATTGAATAATTGTAAAAAACGACTGGCTGAAACAACTGGTGAAATAATACATACAATTGGTGACCTAGTCTTAAGAATTTCTCTGGAATTTTCAGAGAAGTTTCCGGAGAAATTCTGAGGAATTTAGTGGGAAAAAATTCTGAAAGATTTCTCAGGAATTTCTCGAAACTGAGTCTCAAAACTGTGATCCCACAAAAATCTCTCATTTTGGGGACCAATTCTGCGGAATTTCTCGAGAATTTCCTCGGAATCAGTTACAGGAAATGATTCTCGAGAAATTCCTCGGAAATTCTTCAAAGAAAGTCACCACGGTTGGAGAATCTGGGGAAATTCCTCATTTTTGTTACTTGGGAAACGAATATAAGCTCTTATTTAAAAGTTGTACATCGAAAAAATGTCTGTGCATTGGTATCAAATGAATCCTATAGTTTTTCTTTACAATACTGCATTCTCTGATCAAACATGTTACTTAGCTGGTCTTATTTTAAAAGAATTTATTTCCTTAAAAAAATTGTTAAAATATCCATGCAGATCAAGTGTTAGATATCAACTTCTCAGCAAACAAAGGTTGAGTTGAACTGGAAAAAACTAAAGCTCTACTTGAAAAAAAATCTCGAATAAAAAAGTAATTGAGTCCTTGCCACAAACTCAAATTTTATAATTCTTATATCTTCGCAACCTGATTGTGAAAACCTTTGATATTTCTAACCAAGATTATTGTATTTAACAGTATTCATGAAATATCTAAGGTCTACGACATTGGGTTGCAAAGATAAAGAGATTAGAAAATCAGAATTTGTGGCAAAATTCAATTCCTTGACCTGGTTCCACTGGGTGTATCTACAGTCCAGTCCTCCTCCTCATCAAAATGTGCGTCCCCGCCAAAAACTAAAAAATTAAATTTTAAAAATCCAAAATGTTTATTTGCATATTACCTGGATTATTGTCCATATCTGAGAAGAGTTTTTATAATAAATAAGAAGTGTGAAGTGTGGACGTATAATTTTAAGAATCAAGTGACATTATAGATGTTTGATTCACAACGGTACTCTTTAAACCTTATTATCTGAAAAATTATTTTGAAAAATGTTAAATGTTCCATGAATATTGAATACGCAAGTCGCTGTTATAAAGTAGCAACAATAAAAATAACCAATTTCAGCTTTAAAAATACTAGGATATTTTATTTTTGTTTAGATAAAGGTTTAAAGGGTATCATTGTGATATGGCAAGCCCCTCCATAATAAATTGAAAGTCCTATTAAAGGTCTACAGTCTCTTTAACAAAAATCTTTAAAAATTTATTCAAGAAACAATATAAAATGGAAATAATTTACTTTTATGTTGATGTTCTTTAAACTTAATTTTTCACATTTAAATCGTATTATCTCTGTCACTTAAAAAAAATTAACTGGCATTTAGAGATTTTTAACATTAAACTTTTTAAAAGTTTATTTTACGCTTTGCGTCCAAATAACATTAGATCAATATCTTTTATTTTACGATTGATCTTAAATAATTGGGTGTTGGACTTTACTACAGCTTCAATTCCATGGGCAATTATATTTAAATTTTTTATGATAGCTAACGACCATTATTTTTTAATTTCAAAACATTTAACCTACATTTTTTAAGAAAACGAAAAAAAGCGTATTTAAAATCTAAATGATGTAAAAATCTAAAAAATCAATCATCTTGTAAAGTTTTAATTAACGAAACAGGGTGTAATGATATAGGAATTAGGAATCCATCCCTGAAACAAAAAGAAAGGAATTGAGTCTTTGCCACAAACTCTGATTTTCTAATCCCTATATCTTTACAACCCAATGTCGTAAATCTTAGATATTTCTAACTATGCATAGGGTTAGATAAAATAATCTAAGTTTGAAATAGCACAGTTCACACCATCAGGTTGCGAAGATATAGGAATTTGAAAATACGAGTTTGTGGCAAAGACTCAAATCCTTTGTTCCTTGGCCGCGGGCAGAAATTTGTAAGGATCTGTTCAACATTCCATTACAATGTACAACAGGTAGTTATTTGAAATAATATATATACTTTAAACAAACCTGGAAAGAAAGCATGAGCTAGAGTCCCTCCTTCTCCATCAAAAGCATCATCATCCCCGTGAGCTCTTCTCTCAAACCTAAACCAAATTTTAATTATGAAAATCTTTTAATAAATCGATTATTGTTTATTAATACTTTTTCTTCTTGTTTACCTTATTTCAATATGAACTTTTCCAGATTTCTTTTCTTCAAACTAAGAAAATAAAAAATTTGTATCTTAAATTCTCAAGATTTTTAGATAATATACTTTTAAAAATAAGTTGAGACTTTGTCAGGTTTCATAGAATCATATACTTTGTCAGGTTTCATAGAATCATATACTTTGTCAGGTTTCATAGAATCATATACTTTGTCAGGTTTCATAGAATCATATACTTTGTCAGGTTTCATAGAATCATATACTTTGTCAGGTTTCATAGAATCATATACTTTGTCAGGTTTCATAGAATCATATACTTTGTCAGGTTTCATAGAATCATATACTTTGTCAGGTTTCATAGAATCATATACTTTGTCAGGTTTCATAGAATCATATACTTTGTCAGGTTTCATAGAATCATATACTTTGTCAGGTTTCATAGAATCATATACTTTGTCAGGTTTCATAGAATCATATACTTTGTCAGGTTTCATAGAATCATATACTTTGTCAGGTTTCATAGAATCATATACTTTGTCAGGTTTCATAGAATCATATACTTTGTCAGGTTTCATAGAATCATATACTTTGTCAGGTTTCATAGAATCATATACTTTGTCAGGTTTCATAGANATAAAATATCATAAAATATCATGAAATTTATTCCTTTATGCTAATAATATAAAAGATAAGGAATTGTCTGAATAAAAATAGAAATTATTTCGAATATTGTATTTTTAAATATGTAAGTGTAGAAAAACAATAAAAATAAAGTTTGAACCTGAAATTCTTTGACGGCTGAGTCAACAGTAACTAAATTCTGACTTAATCCACTAGCCTAAATTTTATCAAAATCTAACTTTAGATAATTAACATAATGATTTTAATAAAACCAAACTATATTGAAACATACATATCCATTCTATGAAACTCTACTATTAATAAACTTGTTTATAGTCTTCTATAAAATAAAAAAAAACATTTTTTGGTAGAATATTATTAATAATTTAATTGAAAAACCTCCCTAAAAAATTATGAAAAAATTGTACAATTTTCACTTTTAAAGTACAAAGGTCGGCGATTATATCAATACAATGAAGACGACTTTTATTGATAATGCTTAGAGCATTTTTCAAATTACAGCTTTTAAAGCTTGGTAAAAATAAAAATTGAAATATAAAGAAGTTGTCTTGATTGTATTGATATATACGATGGCGACTACTGTGCTAAATTTTGCTTCAATGTATAATGTTAATAAGGATGAAAGATCTGGTTGATAGTTAGATGAAAAAATTGCATTTTTTTCTTGTTTAAATGTCAGAGATGAGTTCTAATACACCAGGAAAATTCCTGCTAGCTTGTTATACCCGGGCAGTTTCAACATTTTAAAATATTTTGTACTCTGTCTGATTTTTATGAAAGTATTCGTGGATTTTAATCATTATCCCTTGGAAATATATATTTTTGGAATTGGTGAAATTTTATGAATGATTAAAATACTAAATTTTGGTTAGATTCCTAAAAGTGTAAATTACGAACCCTAATCTGCATCATTATTTCATTTTTTATATATGTGCTTAGTGTTATTTAAAAAGGAGGTTTATACTGTATAATTAAATAGTTGCAGATAGAATCAAAATTCATGATTAATTTATTTTAAACCACTTTACACAAACTCTTCCCTACAGGAACTGTGGTTGTATAATTTCAAGCAACTCATCATATACAGAGGACATGTTAGATTCACAATATCTTATCAAAATTCACTCTGAAAGCTAGATTAACGACGATATCTTCAAAATTATTGATCATATAACTTTGATTACAGATTATCGCAGTGAATGACTGGTCACTTGAAACTAAAACCAACTTCTTTTTCACTAACACTCCAATCTTATCTTCGAATTATTAAATTTTGATATTCCTGTTGTGTGTGCATGTATCCATATTTTAATAGATATGATGCTGCCATGCTGGCATCATCTTGTGTGTTCTCATCAACCAAACTCCTTGCACTAAATTCACAAATTTAACTTTAATTTTAAATTTTTAAATTTTTAACCATAACAAGAATGATTTCAGTGATTTATATGATTTATGTGGTGGGGGCGTTAGAAATATTTCCCCCATCAAAATATTCAAGGGAAACCTTTACAGATTCTTTTTTTTATCTTTTTATACTATTGAGACTTAGTTTACTAAAGCTTTTAAATCAAAAAAGATTATTTGTTTATAATTGCAGAGCTTACAGTTATATTACAATGCAAACTCATAAAAATATTCAATAGGAAGACGACCTTTAAGCAATCTTTGATCGTGCAAAGTAAATAGTTTTACCATGGTAGCTGAAAATCAATTTACCAATTTACCAAACTGCCTAATTGCGGGTTTTTATGTTTATTGGACTATTTAAAATCAAAACTTGATTCCATGATTCCATGAAAAACATGAAACATAAAAAATAGCAACATTTCATCTTTGAAAATTTTATAGTAATAATTTTATCCCTTGAATTTATTATTTTATTTTTTTTTATGAAATATCATGGAAATAAAGGTTTTCCATCAATTAAAAAAAGAGATTCGATGTGTAAAGTCATGTCTGGTTAAAACTGAAATTTCAACAATAAAACAACAACAATAATAATAATAATAATAATAATAATAATAAAAATGATAATAATAATAATAATAATAGAAAATAAGACATTTAATTAAGAAAACAACACATTTAATTAAGAAAACAACACATTTAATTAAGAAAACAACACATTTAATTA